TCCCTCCCCCGTGTGTTTTTTTGGGTAACAAAAGGTTTTGGTCCAGTTTAAAAACGACGACAACAAAATCCTCTCTTATAAAGTCGGGGTGGTTCGTGGGTTTTTTTGCTTCCTGGTGGGATGCACGTTGGGTTGGGTTGGGTTGGGTTGGGTTGGGTTGGGGGGCTCGTTGCCTGTATTGCATGATCGTCTCTCTTAGGTTTTGGTGTGGTAGATAATCCCTATGCGTTACGAAAAGAAAAGCCCAGTGTTAGGGGTGTGCACGTGTGTAGCTGCAGCTGGCATCACTTGGAGGGAAGGGATGAAGGGCGAGCTCCGGCACCGTGGATGTCGATCCACGATGAGAACGCAGGACCGCGGTGGAAATACCCTGTTAGTGACTCCTGATTCGTCTGAGGAACAAATCCCTGCTCCGAGAAGGAAAGGAAAGAACAAAGTTCCAGACTCCACGGCGGCTCAGAAGAACAAAAGAACTGCTCCGCACCCGGTGCCATTCCAGGAGGGAATTTCTTCACCTTCTTTTTAAGGATTTTCTTCGGGTTTTTTTTGTGTTTTTCTCTTTTTTTTTTTGACTTTTTTTTTATTATTATTATCATTTTTGTAGAAAAAAAGGAAAACAATAAAAGTTCTTTAGCTGTTTTGTTTTTGTGTTTAAATCTTTGAGGTAATACAGTTGTGCCCTCGTTCTAACAGGTTCCCAGAGGTCGATGGGTTCTTTGCTGTCTCTTCCAAATCCCTGGCATCCGTTTTTCCTTTCGTCCCAGTTGTTCCTTGCCGAGCTCCCAGTCGGGCTGAGCCATCCCTGGGGAGGAGGAGAGCAGGGCCTTGAGAGCAAAGATGATGTGGCTGCTCCCCGCATCCCTGCTCCCTTCCCCATCCGATCCCGATGGCCTGGCTTGGTCCACGCCGAGAAGTCCCAATCTCACCACCAAAAAGAAACTGAACGAAACCGCTTTGCTTCGCGAGATCCGAGGCTGGAGCATCGTTTGCCCTTCCCAATTTCTGGCTTTTTTTTTTTTTTTTTGCTATGCATTTCCATTTTATTATTCACTTTTTTTCTGTTTCAAAAAATAACTCGTAAAATAATTTCTTTTTTTCTTTTTTTTTTTTTTCTTCTTCTTCCTTCTTTTTCTTTAAATTAATTTATTCTTTCATTCATTCGTTTGTTCTTCGGATGTCATTATTATTATTATTATTAGCATTATTATTATTATTATTAGCATCACCTTTTTTCTCTCCTGGACCCCCCCCTCCCCAACTCCCTTCCTATCCCCCCCCCCCCCACCCCAATGCCCTGCTCTGTCTCTTTAGGAAAATATCCTAATGGCCTGAGTGGCTGCAGCGTGGCAAACGGGACACTCGGGATCAGTCCTCTCACAGATCCTCACGGCACACTCCATGCAGAAGAGGTTATGGCCGCAGGGCACCAGAGCTGCCGTGACTTCGCTTTCGAAGCACACCATGCACTCGCGGCTGCTGGAGACGGACGTCCGGGCAGCGGTCGTCGTTCCCAGCTTGGAAAACCCTTGGAGAGGTTCCCCCTGCGACCGCCTGGGCAGACCGGAGAGATTGGGCTCTTGGATGGAGGAGGACGGGGAGCGATGGGAGTTGGGATGGATGGCGCCGGTACTGCTGGACCGCTGCTGCTTGGAGAAGAGCACCGACACCGGGTTGGTGTTCTCCTGCCCGGCCCACATCGGGGCACCCGATTCCGGCACCCCATAATACAGATCTTGCTTGTTCACCCCGTAGTTGGGGAAGAGGTAACCGTAATTGAAGTCATTTTGGTCATTCAGCCGCGGCGTCTCATAGACGGGATCGACGGAGCAGTCGCCGATGCACCCCAAGCTGTTCTGCCTGAAGGTGGACAGGGGCTTGCAGCCCGGCGCCGGCGTATGGACCCGCCAGGCCTCCGAGTAGCGGTTCTCCATGCCGGAATCGGGGCTGCTGGAGAGGAAGTCATTCTCGTTGTTGTATTCCAGGATCTTGCCCGTCCTCACCGCGATGTGGGTCTCGATCTCCTCGCGGGCGCGTTCCACGTTGCCCGGCGCGCCGGTGATCTCGAAGACGGGGTCCCGGTCCCGGCTGGGCGTGATGATGTAGGTGTTGGTCTGCTGCTGGATCCTCTTGATGGTGGCCCCTTTGGGCCCCACCACCAAGCCCACCACGCGGTAGGGCACGCGCACGCGGATGGTGACCTGGCCCGGCAAGGTGGGAGCGCTGCCGAACGTGGTGCCGGCCTTGTTGCGGGACGCTCGGATCATGGAGAAGTGCTCGGCAGCCGAGATGATCTCCCGCCGGGCCATGGCCACGTCCTCCCGCCGCCCCGTCACCATGAAGACCGGCTCCTCGCCCCGCACGGGGGTCTTGATGTAGGTGTTGGTCTTTGCCCGCAGGGCTTTGATCTTGCAGCCTTGGAGGAGGAGAGAGGAAACAAGGCACGAGGTTAGGGATGCCCTCGCCACGCAGCCATTCCCCAGCCATTCCCCCTTCACCACCCTGCGCCAGGGAGGAGGTGTCTGCCACAGCCCGACGAGCAGAGCCCTTCATGGGGGCTTGCTGTGCTTCTGGGGCGAGGCTGGTGTGACCCATTGGGGAGCCCAGGTTTGGGGCAGGACGTAGCAGAGATGCAGCCATTCGGGCTCCCCAGCTCGGATGCTGCGGGGCGGTGGAGGGCAGCAGGACACCAGTGAAGGGGCCGTGTTCTGCCCGGGACTGATGGGCACAGGCTTCTTCCCTGCCACAGCAACCCGGTGCTTTTGTGTCTCCCTGGTGCCCACCAAGCCGATTCCCCCCCGCTGCTTCCAGCTCAAGCATCCTTCTGCCTTCCCAAAAAAGGCAAGAGACTTGCCAGTGTGTTTTGGCTCCCAAAGCCCCTTTATAGAGGGGTTTAGAGCCAGCCCTGCAACTCCAGCTTCCTCGAGGATGCCGTCAAGCATCGACCGGCTGTGTCCCTACAGATGTGGCACAGCTCTCTATGAACTGCTGCTGGAGAGGCTCCCGCTGACCCCCGTCTCCAAAAGCATCTCCTCTGTGGGTAGCAGAGATGCTCCGACACCAGGCAGCCTTCCCCAACACACCATGAGCATCCTTGAACGCCAGATGACCCCCCCCCCCCCGCAAAGGATGCTTCTGCAACCAAGGCATGGAGATTCCTCCACCCCTGGGCTGGAGCATCATTACTTATAGAGCTCCTAACGAACACCATCTCTCCCAGCTGCTCGCTCAGTGCTGCCGGGCACGGAACGCTCTCGCCACCACGTACCATTGGCAAGGACCGAATCCCACATCCGTAGGGATACGAGCGGAGCCTCGAGCCCCTCGGGCTGACGGGAACGCCGCGCACGCTGCAACCAATAGTGAGAGCTGCACAAGGCATGCTCCAAGCGTGGAGCTCCCAAAGCCCGCTGCCTGGAATAGGATCCCGGCGTCGGGGTGGCACAAGTGCTGCTGCGGGCTCCCGGAGCGAGTTTTCACTCCTTGGAATGCTCCCCTTTGTGGACTGGTGCTCCTGCAGGATTTCCTGCCACGCTCAGCATCGCGATGCCGCCGCTGCACTGAACCCATCTCAAGCCGCTCGTTCCTGGGGAACGGGAATGCTTCATCTGACCCGGAGCTGGGCACAGTCCCAAACTCCAACCCGAACGCAGCCCCTGCCAATCCCAACGCGGCTCACGTGTTACTCCCCACTGACTTCACACCCTGGAGTGTATTTGCAGGGCTTTGTTTAGGGAAGTTCCTGAAGAGCTGACGTGGAAGCGCGGGCAGCTGCAGCGCGGCATCCTTAGCGCTTGGGAAACCCAAAGAGCGGCGCTTGACGGGGCTGGGCGCGACGCAAGAGTGGAGCGAAGAGCGGGATGAAGCATCCCGAGGAGGGCAGGATCAGACCTGGCCCTGCAGCCCCAGGGCAGGGTCAGCTCCCCATGGCAGACGTTTCCCTGCCCCGCTCCCATGCTGCTCGCTCCAAAGCTGGAGATTCCATCTTAGGCAGATTAACGGAGATGCCACCATTTCCCCAGGGATCTCACCCGAGCATCGCATGGAAAGGAGGGGGGTGTGTGTGTGTGTGTGTGTTAGCAGCTCACATCCCTATGGAAATGCATCCCGGGCTGAGGAAGGATCCTTCCATGCCTCCCATTGCGCCTCCCAGGAGCAAATGACCTCAGGCAGGCGTTTGCCAGGGCTGGGCTTGGGTTTGCTCTGAGGCACGGGACAATGAGAGCACGTTGGGATCTGAGCCCTGCGCCGCAGCAGGGGGCAATCACGGAGGCAAGGCGGAGGTCGGGAGAGCGGAGCGGTGACAAAGGACGGGGGCTCCGGGCTGGGGCCAGAGGGGAGGCAACGGTGGCGAGGAATCCACATGAATGAGGGTGAAGGCGAGTGGAGTCAGGGAGGGAGGAAAGGGGATGGGGATGGAGGGAGGAAAGGGGATGGGGATGGAGGGAGAGGCACGCTGGGATTCCGCTGAGGGAGGAGGATGAGGGGTGCAGAGAGGAAGGAGAGACACAGAGACACCCACCCCCCCCCCTCCAGTAAACAGCAAAAGGGAGATGGGCAAGGAGAGAGCCCGGCGAGAGGAGGGAGGGAGGATCTAGAAACGGACAAAAGGACGCATGGTGCAGTCGATGGTGTGAGAAGCAGGGGGAGGAGGAGGAGGAGGAGGAGGAGGAGGAGGGAGGGTCTCCGTGCAGGCCTGCAGACGGGAAAGCTTCGAAGAGACAGATGGGGGATCCTGTGCTTAGGAAGTGGAGGGAATAACCCCACAGAGGGAAAGGAGCCCGAGCCCGTCGAGCCCCAGCAGGTTCAGGGGGTGCAGCTCTGCCCCCAGCAGCCCTGAACCGAGCTGCACTGATTTACACCACCTCCATCAGACCGGCTCCAATCTCACTTCCCCACTCAGCACCACGGCTCCCAGCCCGCCCCATCCCAACCCTGACCTTGCTCCCCCGCAGCCGAGCTGTCTTTGCCATCGCCATGCAGCTCAGGATGCGGCCCTTCCAAGCCCGGCCAGCTGAGGAGCGTGGTCCTGAGTGCTTTTGTCCCCCCGCAGCTGGCCGGTGGGGTGGGCTTTTGGGAGTGAAAGGCTTTCTCCCTGGGGTAACTGCCATGTGAAGGCAGCACGGAACAGCTTGACCCGGTGGGTCATTGAAAGGGGAGAGCTGCTCAGGAGGTGGTGTTGAAAACGCGCAGCCAAGAGGAGGAAAGGACCTGCACAAACTCTGCTACCCCCTAACTTCGCTGTCGTGCTCTGCTCTTTAAGGCAGCAGCGCGCAGACAGCAGCTAATTGATCCCTGGCAGGCTCCTGCTGCTTGGGTTGTTACAGAGGGGAGAGAACGAAGCCCTTTCGTCCCGGGTTTCCATCACCTCGCTGCTATTCTGCTGGGCTCTGCCAGAAACACAGATCCCAAAGCACTGGGAAAGGGGGTTTGTATGATCAGTTCCTCCCCACCCCATCCTTTTTGCTTTGGAACTTCAGCCAGCCGATCGCCAATTGACTCCGAGTGAGTGTGGTTGCAAATGACCCCAGGCAGGCACAAATGCTAAGGGAGAGGAAGAAACCCTCGAGGAGAGTGGAGCCTCCAGCCCCCAGACCAGTTTCTAACTGGGATTAACCCCCAGAGCGGCTCGCTATGGCTAAAACCCAAGTAAATACATCGAGTCCACCCACTGCCCACCTGGGGATGGGGAAGCAGGGCGAGATTGGGATGCACAGACCCTAAAGAGGCCTTCAAGGGCTTGGTCCCTCTGTCCAGCTCCTGAGGGCAACCAGGGGGTAGGATGCATCCCATCGGACTCTGCACGAGCCCATCCCAAATCTCACCCAGGGTGGCTCCCATAGGAAAAGGGCAGAGCGGCACACGGGATGCAGGGGATGGATGCTGCGCCACGCCATGCAGCCACATCTCTGCAGCTCACAGGATCCCAAACTGGTTTGGGCTGGAAAGGACCCTAAAGCTCATCTGAAAGCACAGGCAGGGACCCCTTCCACTGGAGCAGGGTGCTCCAAGCCCCTGTGTCCAAACTGGCCTTGAGCACTGCCAGGGATGGGGCAGCCACAGCTTCTCTGGGCACCCTGTGTCAGCGCCTCAACACCCTCACAGGGGAGAGCCTGGGATCCCCCCTCTTTCAGTGTAAACCCATTGTTCCACCGGGTATTGCACTCCAGTGTAAATCCACAGTTCCACCTCCTGACAACCTTCCCTTCCCTGCTGCTAGAAGGCCAGATCCTGCCCAGGTACACGCCTGGTGCAGGCTGGCACAGCTCAGGAAGCTTCACCTACAACCATCAGAGGAGCTGGACCAGCTCCCAGCACACAGCCCCAGCCCCAAGGTGGGTTCTCGTTGTATTTCACTGTGGTTTGCAACATCACAGCACCCCAAATCTCTGCACGTCCTTGTTTCCAGCGGGCTGGATATGACCTCTACAAAACAAACGGATTTCTGCCCTCTTCCCATTTACACCGAGGCACTTTCCCAGCGGGCTGCTCTAAATTACACCTGCAAATACCCCACTTGAGGGCATTTTGCCACTGATGCTGTGGTAGAAAAGAGCTTAAGGGCAAATCAGAGCTTGGGGTTGGGTTTGGTTTGGGGGGGGGTGTTATGGTCATGAAATTCAAGAGGGGCCATACAACCAACACCCCTCAGATACCCCTGCTAAGGTGGGGCACTCATTTCCCAGTTAAGATGAAAGCTGTGCTTAAAGACAAGCACACAAAGAACATCACAACTAAACCCTCCTGCCTGGGGGGGGGGGGGGGGGGGGAATAAGGTTTCTGCTGCAGGGAAAGCGGGGCCAACCCCCCTACAGGCACACAAAAGGACCACGACCGACCCGACGGAACCCCTTTGCGTTGGGGTTTTATTGTCCCGAGGATGCAAGGTGGGTTCACAGGGAAGGGAAAAACCACCCCCAAGCCACGGCCACCTCCTTTCAGCTCAGGGATTTTCCCTGCCTTTTCCCAGAGGGATGAAAGTTGTTTATGGAGGAGGGGGTGGGAAAGAAAGGGATGGGGGGGGGGGGGGGAGTGTGGGGGAACAAGAAAGGAAAAGCACCAGGACAATCGCTGCCTTGTTTGTGGCGGAGGAAAGTTGGGCGCTCGGCGCTGGAAGCAACGGCATCGCATCGGGGTGGGTGTGCCCGCGGCCCCCGGCACCATCCCGATCCCGATCCCTAGGGAAAACGGGACAAGGTGCAGGGAAAGGATGGGGGGGGGAAGCAACGGGCACGCTGCAGGAGCAGGGGGCTGGCAGACAAAGGCAGGAGGACCGTGTCGTGTGTCCCCCCCCCCGCGCTCTCCCACTGCCCCAGATTCCCGGCGCTGCGGCGCGGTTCACTCGGTCACCGCGGCATCCAGCCGCCGGATCCGATGCTCGGAGCCTCGCTCTGTGTGTGTGTGTGCGTGTCTCTCCCTAGAAAATTCCCTTTGTCTCTCTCCCAGACCCGTTTTCTCCTCCCACCTCCAGTTCAAACCACACAAAGTCAATCCCGGTCGGCACTTTTCCCTGGTGGAAATTCGGAGGGATTCTCATTAACGCTTCCCAACAAGCCGCCACCCGACCGCAATCCCTCGCTCCCTTTAAGGCCCCCCCCCGCCCCGGCTCAAGCTGCGTGAGGAGGTTGCTCCTCAGGCCCCAGGGGACCTTCGGCTCCGAGCTTTCCTCAAGAGCAAGCAGGCGACAGGATCTGACCCCCGCGCTGCTTCTCGGATGCTGCACATCCACCTCCTCCACATGGTGGGTGGGGGAGCTGCAATCATCAGACTTCCTCAATGGAAAAGGCTTCCTTGGACTATTTTTAAATGCTGGGAGCGTTCGAGCGTGCTCGGAGCTACACAAAGAGCCCGATCACCTGGGGTTCGGGTGGGGGGGCTCTTGGGGTTCGACTTCACCTTGCCAAGACAGAGCGATTGACGCCAAGCTCCTCTCTCACATCACCTCACCCCTGGTGACAACAGGCTGCTTAGAGCAGGCTGGGAGAGGCTTCATCAAAGGCTGTCTCTGGGCACAGGTGACAAAGGATGCTACTACCGGGGATGAGAGTAAAGATGCTCTTACAGGGAAGGTACCCGCTGGGAACAGCTCGCACCGCTCGCTCCACACAGCAAGCGAGCCACGCTGGCCCCACACCACACACAAAGAACCCGAGCACATCACCCCAGCTGCAATAGCTGGCCCTAAGCATGCCCCGCTTCCAGCCCACTTGGTCACTGGGAGCGGATTACAACAGGCAGAGAAGTCCCACACGTGTGCTCATGGGGCCGTACCTGCCCACGGTGACTTCCAGGGGTGAACAGGGGCACCTGGGGTGCCTGGGTGCACCCCTTTCCCAAGCTCACACTCGGAAGCACGACACCTTTATACGCTTCCTGCTCTTCCCAACTCAATTCACACCCTTGCCTTTGCAAGGACCTACTCCTCCCGGGCCAGTCCCCATCCTCGCCCCCAGAACCAGCCGCAAACACCTCAGGGCTTGGCTCCTGACGACGGGAACAGCCCCAGGAAGGGCGTTGTTCCCTCGGGAAGAGCTGGTGGCTGAAATACAAGAGCCACCAAACCCCCCAAAGGCAGGCCCGGAGCGGCTCCAGAGCCAGGGAGCCCCGCGCACCCCATGGCACGTGCCAGGAGGTTCGGCCTGCCAAGGTCAGCAGGGATGGAGGTGCAGGGAAGCAGGGAATGCTCAGCAGGAGCCAGGAGGCGGGTGGAGGCATCCCTGCTCCTCACCGTAGCATTGACAAGGGCACGCATGGAGGTCATGGCTCCGCTTCCAGCCGGGGAAGGGAAGTCACTGCCAACCGTGGCCAGGGACAGGGTGGAAGAGGTCACAGACACCGGTCCAAGGCGTTGTTACGCCTTTATCCCTTCATCCTTCCCTTCCCAGCTTCCTCCCCTTCAAGCTGCCTCCCGCCGCATCCCACCGGCACCCAGCCCTCAGACACCAGCGCCTGCCCGGCCACAGTCCCCCCTTCCCCATCAGCCCGGGTCTCATCCCAGCCGGTGCCCATCCCGCATGGAAAGCGGCGGCTCCGCTGCGGAAGCGCTGCCGGAACGGAGCGCACAAACTCCAGCGAGGCTCCCGCACGCGATTGGCTCCGCGAGGGCACGTTCCCCGTTCCCAGGGAAAGCAGGGAGCTGCCAAGCACGGGGTTCAGCTCCTGCAGCATCTCCAGGTGGAAGTGGAGCCACCCCCCTCCGCCACAATGGCACCGCTTCCAAGCGCTCCCATCCGAATCTATGGGGCTTTGGGCCTTATTTGTACCCCGGTGCCTTTACACTCTCCTGGCAAAGCAGAGGGAGGTGGAAATCCCATTGCCAGGGGCATGGAAAAGGGCCCCCCTGCCCAGATCCAGGCCTCTTAAACCCGTACATCCAAAGATGGGAGACAGCACTGAAGATAACATGAAGGAACGGTGTGGCTCCTCACACCACAGAACATGAACTTAAAGGAACTCAAGCCCGTTACCTATTAAAAGCCCTAAAATCATTTTTATTCCACTCTTACTTCTTTTTCCCTTCTTTTTCCCAAATTATCCATGCCCCTATGCACAAACACTCAGAACCCCCCCCCCCAATTCCTTAGAAAACCATGAGCAGTCCAACCCAGGAGGTGACACTGTGCACGCTTTGGGGTCCCCCCCCCAAAATTCCTGGTCAGGCATCCATGAGAGCCCAGGATCCATGCCCCCAGGGCATCCTGCATCCACCTCCATCAGAAAGCAGAGCCTCAGGAGCCAGCTTTCCACACAGGAACGAGATCCAGGGGACATTCCTATAGGCCTTTAGTGTGGATCACAATCTCTGCTGGAGCAAAGTGCCCTGGGCAATACCAGCACCGATCCATCCCACCCGCCCCAGAGCAGGGCCACGGCTTCTACCACCCTTCCCACGAAGGGACGGAGCCCATTCTGCCCCACGGACACCCCCCAGTTCCCAGATGTGGGAAAACCCTCCCACACGCACACTAAAAATGGTGGAAAACAACCCAAGGTCTCCGCGTTG